TAACCCATACATTAAAATACTGAAGAGCATTCCTAGTCATATAAAAGAGAAGTTTATTTTTCCACAGGTACTGGTTTTACCACATATTTTACTATAATAAAACAATTATATTTTATAGTCCACCATTATCTGCTAACTATAAAGTTAAAGATTCATAATACTTTCTATTTGTTTCTATTCTACATGCACATAACAACACATACACAGAATTAGAAATAAATCTTAAAATATAAATGTTTAAAACTGGACCATTAAGGTATGAAGGTTATCTTAATTATCAACTTAACTAGATTCAGCATCACCAGAGACACTAGTGTTTCCAAAAAGATTTAATTGAAGAGGGAAGACCTGACATAACACCAGCAGCACCAAGGATCCCAGACTGGCTAATAAGGCAAAAACAAAGAAACTAAGCTGAGCACCAACATCCATTTCTCTACTTCCTAACCTTAAACACAGGGTGACCAGCCGACTCATAGTCTGGCCACCATACCTTCCATTCTATGATGGGATGTTTATCCTCAAATTAAGAGGCAAAATAAATCCTTCCATCCTTAAATTACTTTTGTCAAGTATTCTGTCAGAGCAACAAGAAAACTTAGGAATATAGTGGAGATAAAAGGTAAACGTTCTCAAGTATAGCATAAAAAAAGTAAAGTTACACGTTGACTACTATCCTAATTTTAGCTCAGTTTTACTTAACAAAATGGCTATGTTAAATGGGCAAGAAATATGTGTTTGTCCAAGCTTATTATACTAGTGATTATAAATGATGTTACTAACTTTAATTAAAAATTAAATTGAAATTTTTGGCTAAATTCATTATTTGAACAACTTACTACAGAATTATCTAAACAAAATATACTGTTCTTTATCAAACAGAATATGCTAAATATAATTTAAACTTTTTAACTAACTGACAAAGCTGAATAAAAATATAACCTCTGGCTGGATATGGTACATACCTGTTACCTCAGGACTCAAGACACTGAAGTAGGATTTTAAGTTTGAAGTCAGCCTCAGCTATATAGTGAAACCCTATCTCAATATAAGTAAATAAATAAGTGAGCTCCATGCTATATCATACATGCTGGTATTACACAAATGCCAGTGACAGGCTGAATAGTTTATAATGACAAGGGAGAACGAGCATGCTAAATCAGGACAGATTGAAATTAAATAATATGACAATATTATTTTCAGAAAGTAGTTAATCATGACAAAGCAATTATATCAAATGTACATTCCATGAAAATATACTTCAAAACTATCATATTGTACCGTGTCAAAGCAAGATTAGCCTCTCCGCCATGACTTGAATCATTACCAGCATCATGAACTGCCTGATAGTGTTTGAAAAGTTCATCAGCAGAGCCAAGAGATTTCATACACTGGGGACATATAAAGCCCTATAGAAAGAGGGAGAAAAAAGATTAAAAAGATATTAATCTTGAAAAATAAGACTTTGCATATTATAAAATATAGGCAAATGCTTTACTGACATTAGTGGTATCATTAAGCAAACTGTAAGTTATGGTGTTAGACCAAATTCCGGTAGAAAGCAAAGATATTTCACTATCTATTTTGGTTAAAGTACTCAAAACAACCATCTTTTAGATTATGTCAATTAATGGTTAAAGAATTCTAGTATAAGAAACTGGTTCTAATCTAGATTAGTTGAGAACATTTTTCCATTATAACTTTCCTCTCTCTGTATATTCCCAGCACTTGAAAGGTTGGAGAATTTTGAGTTCAAACCCAGCTTAGGGTATATAGCAAATTCAAGGCCAGCACAGGCTACAGAGCAAGACCCTGTTGTCTCTCTCTGTCTCTCTCTGTCTCTCGAACAGACACATACACACACATGCATACATGGGGGGATGTTTACCATTTGTTGATATTACATGGCAGAATCAAGGTTCATTGACCGATAGGGTTAATGATAGGAAGACAAATACTGACAGATATATGTAAAGAACTAAGGTAACTATAGTAATACAAGGGAAACAGTATCAATTCATGCTTTAAAATATATACATATATTTACCTATTATATGTGTATTTCATCTCTATCTTTACTGAAACCAC